TATCGTAGGCATAGGGCCTAGCTACGTATACAGTATTTTCATTTTACAGTATGTAGTTTGGAACGATATCGGAAGTGGGGGTGCTGGCAGTGGCCTGCTATTAGGACTACAATTTATTTGAAAATATCTTGGGTCCGATCGTCCACACCAGTTGGGCCCAATCATCTATCACCCAAAGTTTTCATTACGATTATCAAGAACGTACACATCTATGCCCTGGGCTAGGCTTAGCTTGCTGTCGTCACTCTGCTACGTATACTACACTACAACCACATAACAAAGAAAGCGATAACACGATATCATTGATTGAACGATCTAACTAGGCCTACCCTTGCATCGCAGTAATACTGAACTAGGCCTAGCTTAGGCCTCATGTTTTTGTGGAAAGCTAGATAGTCGTTATGTACCCGACAGTCGGCTGCCTTTATATTTTCACCTGTTTTCAGTTTGCATTCAAAGGGTACATTGCTGCACAGTCAACTGTCGGGGATATAGTACCTTCATATGACTACTCATACGTATACAACAGAAGAAAACGTCGCATGGACTAAGTGAAAAATGGAGATCTAAACGAAGAAACGATGTATTTCAGCAAGTATTAAAACATTTTAGTTTTATTTTAGGCCTTCTTCAAAATACCTATGCCTACTGCAAAAGTTTTTTTTTGCCGTAAAACCAAAATAGTTTCATCCATGCTGACATTCCGGTCGCTTAGCGTGAGCCCTGACTGAACTCTGCAGAAACTTCACATCGATCCTCGCATCGCGATGTAAAACAAAATCTCGGAAAACTTTTCTTTGACGCATGCACATTTGCATAAATGTCTACACACACACATACACACTACACACAATAAAAAACATAGGAAATAGCAAGAGTGATTACAATAGTTCCTATTGCATTACATGCATAGGAACTAAAAAGGCATCTCTATGATGTTTGCGTTTCAAACACAATTTTGTTCAAGTTCAGAACTACATTTAAATTCTAATAGGGCACCCCAACCTAGTGTTAGCAGTACCCATCATGCACCTCCCAGGGGTGGCGCCAGGATCTGCCAGATGGGGGGGGATGGGGGTGTCAGATTTCCCACACAAAAGAAAAGTGGGTGTGGTTGAGCTTCAATTAAAAGATTCCGAAAGTATTCCCGGGGGCGAAGCCCCCGAAAATTTCCACAATTTAGGGGTTTCAAAGGCTTATTTAATCGACGAATTGTGCTTTTTCTCCCCGAAGGGGGGGGGTCAGCTCTTCACGACGGGGGACCCTGGCCCTCCGGCTCCCCGCTGAGTGGGTGGACTGACGAAGCTTAGGCAAGGCGAGGTAATTCGTTGTTGAATTGCCTTGTTGGGCTGAGGTCGGCAAAGTATACACATTCAGAAAGATTGCATGGCTTAACAGAACAGCATGCTGTATCGTGTGTGACTGTGAAGGGTTTTTGTTTACATGAAAGGCCTATACCAGCATACTTCTCGAGTGATGGAACTTCCGGTCGGTATCCGAATAACTTGGGGTTCGTAAACGAGCGATCTAATGACCTACCCTCTGGGCATTATGTCATTTTTGACTTATCCGGTTTCGTTGAAAGTTCGTGAACATAACCTCAGTTGCATTCTAATAATTCAACAATAAACTGACCTTGGTTTGACATGACCTCTGCAAGGTCATGAATCACCAACACTTGTAGAAAATTGAAATAGCCTTTCTGAAGACTCTGCTTGTCCCTGCGAGCTTGCATGTCCATTTGGTCAGCTGGTTGGGCAAGCACGTTGAATATAGTGGTCACTATTGGCATGAATACCTCACGTAGGAAGGGGGAAATGACCCTCTGAAATAGTAAAAAAAATTGATACCTGTTTAGTGTATCATCTAACTACAACCGCTCCTTTGGGACACCCATATGAAGGGACTTTTTGGTCCACTTTTTGGTCCCAAATGTAGGGGTCCCAAGTTGGAAGAAATTCCTTCTGGAAGATCTGTTTCAATGTGCTTTCTTAACATATTTTTAAAAGTTCATTTTTGCTGTGCATGATGATTACAAATCGGATCTGACATGCAAGAGACAATTCATATAAAAGTAGTAAAAACATGCAAATATCATATTTTGTGGAAAATGGGTTATTTTCTAGATTGTTGCTTGCTTGTGGGAGGCTGTCCCAAAATCTGGGAGACTTGCACAACTTCCGGGAGACTTGGGACTGCTTGCCTGCCTGCCATATGGGTTCTACCGCATGTAGATATTCAAATAATTTGTTTCTCCCTTATTACTGAATAGACCCTTTTCCAGCACTCTTCCCCTCTCCCCTTCATGATAGGGCCAGACTTCCCAAATTCAAAAATCAAGCTCTTCACACATTATAATAGTAATAAACAGGAAATTTTATATATTAAAAGAACACATGATAAACAAAAGGTTTCTTTTGATGTCTTTATCAGAAGGACGGTGAATGGTTTGTTTACATCCTTTTAATTGTGATAAAGGTGGACTTCAGTATTAGATGAAACAGGAATCAGAATGAATTGGGAAAAGATTAAATTGACCTTCACACATAACAAAGGAAACATTTGGGAAATATATAGCAGCTGATCTCACTTTAGGCAAACAAAGCAACAAAACCATAGACCTGTTAATAGGTCCATAAAACAAACCACATGAAAGTGAAATAGCAATTTAGGTTACTGTAAATCACTACAGCACATGATATCCCTTTGTTCATGTAATATCAAAGAGGTATAACATTATCTGTCTGTTGGTAATATTGTTGGATGTTTTTTTAGTTCAGTGCAAGTTGTGAGTTGAAAAATGCGAGATGCGAGTTGCGAGTTGGAAAATGCACTTGCAACTCGCACAAAAGAAACCCTCGTTAAAGATAGCTTATGAATTCAGGTAGACCCAAAAGAAATTTGAAAACAATTGGTAATCTGTAGCTTATGATGCAATAATCTATATAAATACACACAAGGTTAACAATTACAATTTCAAAATCTCATTATCTTGTTTTTCATATTAATGTGTAAACAATCATTGTATTGTTTACACCATTAGGGGTAAATTTATTATGGTTAAGGCAGAGGTGAACAACTGCTCACAAAGGCAATAAAAGTATGAATTTGCTAATCTGCCAGGAATATGGTAATAAATTTAGCTAGGTTCACATTCAGAGATTCATGATCAAGCCAGTCATTTTATGTGAAGTTGTTAACCTACCAGATACGTGCTCAGCTTAATCACCTTATTGTGATCTAGTGGAGTATGTTCAGGGGCGGATCCAGAGATGTCCAAAAGGGGGGGCCGAAAGGGGGGGCCGAAATTTGGGTCGATCGAGACAACAATGTCCTAGGGGGTCCGGGGGCATGCCCCCGCGAAATTTTTGTGTTCTAGACGCCCGAAAATAACATTTGAGGCGTTCTGGGCTATCATTTTTTTCTTTTTCTTTCTTTTTTTCTTTCTTTTTTCTACCTCCCAAAAGGGGGGGCCGGGGCCGGGCCGGCCCCCCCCTAAATCCGCCCCTGATGTTGATTCATCATGATTAACCTTCGTTAACGTGATAAATTAATTCATGAGATCGAATTCAACCAATCAGCCTTCAGTTTATTAAACAGGTCCTAAACTCAAGTAAAGTACTATATGCCTTTTAATAATCCATTAATAATTATGATTATTGTTTTGATTAAACATACGGTTTCATTTTTCTATTTTGACCCTTATATAATTTTTTGACTTTACTAATGTTTAATACTGTAATTGTTTTCTTTCTCTCACCAATCAGTTGTTTTCTTTGTTTGTTTGTTTGTTTTTTGTTTTTTTGTTTTTGTTTTTCACTTTAATTTTTGTTCCTTGTATAATTATTACTTGATTGTATTATGTGTATTATGGATGCACCACCGTACAGGTGTGTGTCACTGTTCTGAAAGTGAGTTCTAATAAATACTGAAATACTCATTGGTTGTGCTTCTGGTAGTGTTCATGCAACACTGCACACATTAGCATAAATACGGTAGATCATGATGATGGTTTCTATATGAAGAATTTTCTCTAACCATAGAGTCTATGCTCTAACATGCTAAAGTTATCATGATGAATAGATCATGCTTATGTTAACATGCTAATTAGAAAAACTTTCAAAGCATGAGCATGCCATTTCTGGCCACCTAATTGAGACATATCCTTAAAATTTGCTCACATCAGCCCCAACCATGGTGCATCTGAGGAGAGTGTAGACTGCCTGTTCAACAAATTTTCTTTAAAGACCATTGTGGACTATCAAATTTTGTTTGAAAAAAAACATGTGAAAAACCTAAATATAGTCATAATAACATTACATCATGACCAAATGTGGCACATCATGACTATATACTGTATGGTATACAAATAAAATTTGATAGTTTGCATACAGATTTGTAATCAAGACATACTTAAGACCCTTGTGATAAACCATTCTTAAAGTTTCTTTAAATAATTGATGACATCAATCCATTGCCTGTCACCACTGATACTCATGCACTAAACATTCATCACAGCGGTTAAGCATATTTCAATTAGCTGACTGATTTTGAAATATGCAATAGTGTTTGGTACAAGGTTGTGGTCAATGATGCCATGGTACAGTTAAACCCAATAACTGCAATTCTAAAAATAAAAATAATGAATCATACCAAATAAATTTCAAAAGCAGCTGTATATTTGAATACAATTACGAGTTTTTTACATTTTTTTCTCGTTTCATATTGTTGTTAATCATGTATACACAATTGGTAATGTTGTATTTCAAAATGATGATATAATAAAATGGTTTTAAAAAATCAAGTAAACAAAAACTTAAACATTGTATTCCCTGAAAATTGTCAAAAAAAAAATCTCAAAAATCAATTTTAAAACAAACCTGCACATTTTGGGGAAATTTTCTTTGATGAACTAAGTATACACCATTCTCATAATGAAACAACACTTAAAAGTGAGAGTTGAAAGTTCATGAAATTTTCAGTATATTTTTACACATTGCTTTACTTAATGGTTAAACTAAATTAAATATTTTCTAAAAATTTTCATTCAGATTGTAGGGAATCAAATGACTATTTCAACTCAAATTAGTCATCATATCTTTAAATAAACACAAAAGTATTGAAATATTTTTAAGGGTACATCCTATTTTGTGGACATAGCTAGGTGGTGACAGTCCCTATACAAAATCACCAGGCCCTTTGTTGTGAAGTGTCAACTGAGGTCAGTAGCCAAGATACAGTTGGGGGTTTGGCGAAATTATTGTCATCATAATAAAGATGTTGGAGTTTAGATCTATGATATATCTTTTATATAAAAAGTGATATGCTCAGTATTGTAATTTTCTAGCTATACCTGAAAAAGCCTGGGAAGACTTTATAACTGAGTAGACTCAAAATCAAGGGGGTTTTAGGTTTTACTTTAAAGAAAATAGCACTATGGCAATTCCACCTGCTAATTTTTCCCCTCGGATATTTTCCACTTGGAGATTTTTCCTTCTGAATATTTTCCCCGGCTATTTTCCTCCAGCTATTTACCTCCGGATATCTTCAACCAGTATTTTTCCAAATGTATTTTTCCTCCTAGTTTTTCCACTGAATTTTACAAACCCATTATACTGTATAAGGCAATGTAAATTTGTTAATATTTTTGCTTTTTTTTTTCTCTATATAAATTAATTATTGTTTTCTCGTTGTAACGTCACACCGTCAACGTGTGCCAATGATACAAAAGCATTATCCAATCAATTTGTTGATGGACTCTTGATGCATTTAAAAACTGATGAAGCCTAAAGACACATTGG